ATATATAAATATATAAATATAAATAAATTTTTTATGTTTGTTCAAGAAATGAAAGGGTATACACTAATATTTTTTTAATTACAAAAAAAAAAAAATAAAAATTTGATCTGATTTATATTTACACAACTTCATTATGACCCTTTTTCATTTAAAATTTTATGTTCTTGCTGACTCGATATTGTCGATTTCAGCCTTGAACTTATTACCTGTTGTCGATTTCAGCCTTGAACTTATTACCTGTTTTGTGTTGGCAACATATAATGGATATATAACATCCAACATACAAATCTTTAATAATTTAAAATGTAACTAAAACCTGCTTAGACACACCCGTGTGGTCGCGGGACTTTAGAATACAACCACAGTAAGAGACGCTTGTCGTAAAAGGCGACTAAGATTCTCAACTGGCAAAGACAAAAAATTTTATAAAAGTCCTGAAGTCACTACCAGGCAAGTAAACAGAAAAATCCTGCAGGACATGTTCAAGAAGATTTGCTTGTGCAATCTCTTAACAAACGCTTCTAAGCCCAACGTCATTTTTAATGACGAAATATGAATAGTAGTGGCATTGCATATAACAAATCGACATGTTTTTAGAAACATGAAGGAATTATAGCAAGAATTGATGTTAGCGATTTTGTACTCCAATGGAATTCTCGACTTAGGTCAGATTTTCCAAAAGGCTTGCATGACAAGCCGGTGTATATATAATCAGCAACACAAGAGGCACCGTGCAAAAGATCTTTGAACTAGTTTCAACAGATTCTTTTAATAATATGGGCAATAATATATTTTAGAGTAGCGCTACTCAAGCCGGTGACCCAAATATAATTAATAACGATCGAGAAGCGATACTGTTTACAATACATGATAATTTTACTGTCTGAAATTGCAAATAAAAGTGCAACAACTGTTGCCAAGCAATATTAAAAACTTTTGTTCTGAAACATGGTCCAATGAAGACGTTCATTATGGACACAGAAACAGAGTATAAAACAACATATGACTTGTGCGAATACTTAAAGATAGACGATATGACGTCTACTGCACAAAACCACCAGACAGTTTCGAAAAATAAATTAAGACATAAAATTGGTCTGATCAACCAATTTAAGGTAATCAAAATGAATAAAAACAAAATTCATAATAATTATCATTTTACTAAGGCCATCATTTCTTGAACAATGGAGTCAATTTTTTTAAAATGCATTGAATTTTTATACCCTGAACCCATTTTCAATGGGAAATCAGGGTATAATGGTTTTGTTGAAATGTATGTAACAGGGAGAAGGAGGCGTGGCAGACCCCACAAAGTATATATATTCTTGATCAGGGTGACGAGCTGAGTTGATTTGGCCCTGTCCGTCTGTCTGTCCGTCTGTCCGTCTGTCCGTATGTATGAACGCGTCGATTTCAGAAGATATAAGAGCTAGAGACTTCAAATTTTTTTTTAAATGTCCGTAATTACAGCGCGCATATCAAGTTTATCATTAAAAATCGATAACTCATCCCGATCTTTTTTTATCGATAAAAAACCTTATCGAAACCCAGTTATAAAATTATATCTTCTACACCTTTATTGCTAGAGTCTCCAAATTTTTAATGTATGCTTATATGCAATTTATACAATTTCGGTTTTTGTTAAAATTTACCCCCCACCTCTAAATTCACCCCCTCACCCCTCACTTTTGTAAAAAGCGTATTTCAAATACTAGAGACTTGTGCTTTAGCAATTACATGCATATTCATGTTATAATCATAATCTAAAAGTTTCATGAAGATCGTACGTCCATAAAAAAAGTTATTAAACAATTAAGTTCTCATAGTAAGCGCACACTGCAGCCCATGCGTGTTTATGCGTGGTTGCTTGTATGTGTATGTGTGTGTGTGTATGTGTGTGTGTGTATGCGTTTGTGTCTGTATGCGTGTGTGTGTGTGTGTATGTGTGTCTGTATGCGTGTGTGTGTATGTATACCTGTGTGTGCGTACGTGCTGTGTGTGTGTGTGTGTGTGTGTGCGTGTTTCTTGTGTAAGCTGAAAGTCGCGAAAAAGTATTGAAATATCTATTGCTCCAAGGGTTCAGGGGATCTCGTAGTCGAGCAGTCTCGACTAGAGCTTTCTTACTTGTTTTTTATATGTGGTTATACGTTATATAGAAAAAACAATAAGAAAAAAAAAATGTTTATATATTGTATTTTTTTTTATAAAAAAAAAACAAAAAGAATTAAAAACAAAAATTCTTTTTAATTACTAAAAAAAAAATTAAAAAAAATAAAAATTATGTTAAAAGAAAATAAAAAAAAAAAAAATATTAAAAAAAAATAAAAATAAAAAAAAAATATACAATATTTTGTTTTAAGAATACAACATAGCACATATATATATAAAAAAAAATTAAAAATAATTTTTATTTTAAATAACTACATTATATTACGTTATTTTTTATTATTAACACTCTAGGGGCAGATAGAAGCGTCGCAATCAATCATTCTCGTCGAATTTTTTGTCCGTTTTGCAGGTAAGTGTATATTTTAAATTTTTGCTAGCTCTAATATTCTTATTAATTAGATGATTTTTTTAATTTTTCTCATTGCAGGAAAGTTTATTAACATCTCTAGGGGCAGATAGGAACGTCATTGGTCATCCTCGTCGAGTTTTTGGCCGTTTTGCAGGTAAGTGTATATTTTAAATTTTTGCTAGTTTTTATATTGTTATTAATTAGATGATATTTTTAATTTTTCTCATTGCAGGTAAGCTTATTAACATCTCTAGGGGCAGATAGAAGCGTCGTCAATCATCCTCGTCGAATTTTTGGCCGTTTTGCAGGTAAGTGTATATTTTACATTTTTGCTAGTTTTAATAATGTTATTAATTAGATGATTTTTAATTTTTTTCATTGCAGGTAAGCTTACTAACATCTCTAGGGGCAGATAGAAGCGTCGTCAATCATCCTCGTCGAATTTTTGGCCGCTTTGCAGGTAAGTGTATATTTTACATTTTTGCTAGTTTTAATATTGTCATTAATGAGATGATTTTATTAATTTTTCTCATTGCAGGTAAGTTTATTAACATCTCTAGGGGCAGATAGAAGCGTCGTCAATCATCCTCGTCGAATTTTATGCCGTTTTGCAGGTAAGTGTATATTTTAAATTTTTGCTAGCTCTAATATTCTTATTAATTAGATGATTTTTTTAATTTTTCTCATTGCAGGAAAGTTTATTAACATCTCTAGGGGCAGATAGGAACGTCATTGGTCATCCTCGTCGAGTTTTTGGCCGTTTTGCAGGTAAGTGTATATTTTAAATTCTTGCTAGTTTTTATATTGTTATTAATTAGATTATTTTTTTTATTTTTCTCATTGCATGTAAGCTTATTAACATCTCTAGGGGCAGATAGAAGCGTCGTCAATCATCCTCGTCGAATTTTTTGGCCGTTTTGCAGGTAAGTGTATATTTTAAATTCTTGCTAGTTTTTATATTGTTATTAATTAGATTATTTTTTTTTTTTTCTCATTGCAGGTAAGCTTATTAACATCTCTAGGGGCAGATAGAAGCGTCGTCAATCATCCTCGTCGAATTTTTGGCCGTTTTGCAGGTAAGTGTATATTTTAAATTTTTGCTAGTTTTAATATTGTCATTAATTAGATGATTTTTTTAATTTTTTCTCATTGCAGGTAAGTTTATTAACATCTCTAGGGGCAGATAGAAGCGTCGTCAATCATCCTCGTCGAATTTTTGGCCGTTTTGCAGGTAAGTGTATATTTTAAATTTTTGCTAGTTTTAATATTTTTATTAATTAGATGATTTTTTTTTAATTTTTCTCATTGCAGGTAAGCTTATTAACATCTCTAGGCGCAGATAGAAGCGTCGTCAATCATCTTCGTCGAATTTTTTGCCGTTTTGCAGGTAAGTGTATATTTTAAATTTTTGCTAGTTTTTATATTGTTATTAATTAGATGATATTTTTTTAATTTTTCTCATTGCAGGTAAGCTTATTAACATCTCTAGGGGCAGATAGAAGCGTCGTCAATCATCCTCGTCGAATTTTTGGCCGTTTTGCAGGTAAGTGTATATTTTACATTTTTGCTAGTTTTAATAATGTTATTAATTAGATGATTTTTTAATTTTTTTCATTGCAGGTAAGCTTACTAACATCTCTAGGGGCAGATAGAAGCGTCGTCAATCATCCTCGTCGAATTTTTGGCCGCTTTGCAGGTAAGTGTATATTTTACATTTTTGCTAGTTTTAATATTGTCATTAATTAGATGATTTTTTTAATTTTTCTCATTGCAGGTAAGTCTATTAACATCTCTAGGGGCAGATAGGAACGTCGTCAATCATCTTCGTCGAATTTTTGGCCGTTTTGCAGGTAAGTGTATATTTTAAAATGTTGCTAGTTTTTATATTGTTATTAATTAGATGACATTTTTTAATTTTTTCTCATTGCAGGTAAGCTTCGTAACACTCTAGGGGCAGATAGAAGCGTCGTCAATCATCCTCGTCGAATTTTATGCCGTTTTGCAGGTAAGTGTATATTTTAAATTTTTGCTAGCTCTAATATTCTTATTAATTAGATGATTTTTTTAATTTTTCTCATTGCAGGAAAGTTTATTAACATCTCTAGGGGCAGATAGGAACGTCATTGGTCATCCTCGTCGAGTTTTTGGCCGTTTTGCAGGTAAGTGTATATTTTAAATTCTTGCTAGTTTTTATATTGTTATTAATTAGATTATTTTTTTTTTTATTTTTCCTGTTCGTATGTCTACAAAGAACACACATTAGTGATCTCCGCCTCTTCCCATTCTCGTACATGAACAGCTGACCTGCAGCTGCATGATGAGCGGAAGAGTACGGGGATACTCTTTATTTATTTAATACTTCACAATAGCATTTTTTTATAAATATAAATAGCGCCTATGAGATAATTAAAAGCTAAAAAGGACTATATTTGTCGAAACTTTTCATTAAATGATTAAATTTAAATGGCCATAAGTGCACAAAAATAACAGTGCAGCTTAATGTTACAAAATACTAATAAAAAGAGCAAATTAAAGATAATTCAAAATAACAATAAAGTGCTTGAGTAGGTTACAATAGACTAATTAGATGAGTAAGATATAAGTTTAACAATAGTAATAGATGGCATTAATTAATATAATTCAATTTTTTCATTTATAAGCATCTACAAGATGCACCGAGAAAAATAGCCCCAAGTGGCCAATTGGAATAATAGAGAAAAGTCGAGACAAAGTCTGGTCATTTTCTCTAATACGGGCTTAAGCTAAAATTAGCTTAAATTACAAAAAGTAAATGATAATTAATATAGATAATTAAATAAAAATAGTTTAACAATTCATTTTAGCAGTTTTGATTTCATTAACATTCATTCGATATATCGCAAGTGCAATTGAGTAAGTGACGATGCACCCCTGGCGTTGTGCCTATCGGGGTGCATAATCAAAACAAAACAAAAACAGCTGATTGAAAATTGCATTAAATGCAAATTTTATGCTGCTAATTGGTAAGTTTAAATATTAACAAGTAAATAATTGAAATTTATGGTATTAATAATTAATATTAATTAATTATTATCTTTTTATATGTATGTGGCTGCTGTCATACGGAATACAGACAGGCGCAACACTGAATATAGCAGGATTGCATTAATTGCAAGCTGAATAGCAGGTGAGTTTTGCAATATAAAAAATTAACAATTGAAAAAGTGATATTAATAAAGTTAACAATTAATATTAATTAATTATTATCTTTATATATAAACAGCTGCTACCATACAAAGTGCAGGGGGGCGCAAAGCTGGAAATAGCCGAACTTCATTAATTGCAAGTTGACTAGCAGGTAAGTGAATTTTGCAGAAGTTAATAAAAACATTCAAAGATTATTAATGTTGATTTTTTCTTTGCAGAATACATGAAGTACAGCAAGGAGACTTAGTCATATGGGCTGCATAGCCAATAGGGCGCATAATTAAGTTAGATTTAAGTAGATTTAAATTTGAATTTTAGGCGCAAGCGCCGTCAGATATGTTCGCTGCACATATACATATATGTGCCGAAAATAAACTTTTGTATTGTAGCCGAGAGTTTAATTTGTGTTCAAGTAGTGTAAATACTTAACTCTGATCCCTATGTGATCTAAATAGGACCCTATAGGCAGCAAGTGGTGATGGTGGTGGTAGTGGCCGCGGCATTGGCGCAATACCCTCGAAGACAGGTAGACGTTGCGGCTGGTGGGCTGCTGCTTGTGCAGCTTCGTTGTGTTGCTGAGCCTCCCGTCGGCGAAGGAATCGTTCTCTGCTTTCAGCTACTTCGTCGGCTTCTCTTTGTAGTTGTTTTTTTTATGTTTGTATGCCTTGAGAGAACACTGTATCTTGCCAATGTTATCTGATGAACGGTTCTTAGGCAATTACTTTTTGGCCAGACAGCTGTGACCAGCAGCTGTATGAAGAGAAGAAGAGACAGAGAGATATTCTTTATTCATATAATACTGTACATGAGTATTTTCTTAGAATTTAACATGGCGCCTTAATACGTATTCAAGTGGAGAACTATTGTCGATATTAGTCAATTAACTTGCTTTATTGATGAGCCAATCTTTTTTTAAGATAATCGCAAGTGCATCGATACATAACTGTGCAGCCTTGTTGTGAAAAGATTTGTTTAAAAGAGCAACGACCAAAACAAAAAAGTGAATTGAATGAAATTGATGCCAATGCTTAATTGCCTGATAGCTATAACACTAATAAGTATGCAAAATTAGAAATGGTATATTGAATTAATTTAAGCAAGTAATCGACCATTAAAATAATTAATCCATTTACGCTTGTTTCACATTTCAGAGCCATTCTTACAAGATGTACATTCAAATAAGCCAACGTTCACGTCGTAGCATAAGTGGCATTATAGAAAATCCCACGTAGACGAGTTGTCCTTTAGTCGATTTTCTCCATAAGATAGGCCCGAGCAAGTTATAGGCTACCATTGTGAATTTCTTATACCTTTAACATTGTCCGATCATAAATTCAGCAGTTGATTTCATATCAATTATTCTCTTGAGCTTCATATTTCAGCTTAATACTAATATAATAGCTATTAATAGTTAATGAAAACAGCAGAGCAGTATTTATGGTCATCAAACGCCTTAATGATAAATTGAGTGACTCGACCCAATTGCTGTTCAGCTGAATGCGCCTTGCGGAATCCAAACTGATGGTTTGGAATCGCATTTACGAGAGTATCTTGCTCCAGCATACGGCTCAGTATCAAGTACTCGAGTATCTTTGAGAGGCCAGACAGCAGACTTATTGGCCTGTATGATGCAACATGGTGTGTAGGCTTGCCAGGCTTATGCACCATCTTCACCACTGCTAACTTCCAGCTCGAGGGGAAATGACTCAATCTAAGAGAGTTATTGCATATCATAACAAGATACAAAACAGCCTTCAATGGCAGCGCTTTGATGGTGTGATTATCGATTTGGTCCATTCCAGCCGCTTTCTTGCTCTCTAGTGTGCTGATGTGACTGATGACTTCAGCCGTTTCAACCTGCATGTGTGGAATCACATACACAATTGCACCATGCTTTTATCTCCTCTTTCTTATTGGCTGCCCAGCAGCTATAAGGGGAGGGGATAAGGGAGCAAGGTGACTCTTTATTCCGCAGTGCCGTTCATATGGCTCTTTTTCGAAATGTACATGGCATCTTATAATCTTATAATCTAGATATATAAGACAGATAATAACCGAAACTCTATGATTTTAAATGCTATAGAAATTTTAAGTAGTTTGTAAAATTCATAAATTGACATAGATAAGGAACAATTAATTGATTTCAATATCTGAAAGATGAGCGACAAAGTCTTATCATCTTCTTTTTTTATATACATAGTTTAATATAGGATTAAGTCTAACTTATAGTGTAGCTAATATAATTCTCTTCATTACAGATGTGTGTTGCTGCCGTCCGTTGTCATCCCATGGGGTCCAGAGAGCAGCCGTGTTTGATCGGGGAGATGAGGTAAGTATTGTGTGAGATGTGTTTATTAATTTTATATATATTTATAATTGTACTTCATTTTTAGTTTTACTCATTTATTTAATTCTAATGATTATGTTGATTGTGAGGTAGCTTTAATTATTTACATATAATATTTATATTTATTGTTTCATTCCATTGTGTCGTGCAAACGACATCTTGTTAGATAAAGAAGTGCAGAATTTCGCAATTTTGCTTTGCACATATTTTACTTGTTTTGTTTTGATTTGCATTTACGATCAGCATACACTTGTGTTCAGTAAATGCTTATATGTTTTATTATTTTCTTATTGTAAGTTATTTATTTATTTTGGTGAGTATTATGCGTAAGTTATTTACAGAAGTTATTTGATGTTTTAATTAGTTTTGCATTTTAGGTTTGCAGGTTTATATCAAGGTAAGTATTGAGTTTATTTTATTTCATTAGTATAAGCATACGTAGATGTGCATTTTACTATTTAGTTAATTTAGTAATTTCTTTATTTTCAGTGAAGATCGCTTTTGCTATAAGTAAGGTAAGTTAATGTTCAAGTAGCTATATTGTTATAGAAATTCATTGTTTTACTTTTAGATTTGAGTTAATTTTGGTGAGTATTATGCGTAAGTTATTTACAGAAGTTATTTGATGTTTTAATTAGTTTTGCATTTTAGGTTTGCAGGTTTATATCAAGGTAAATATTGAGTTTATTTTATTTATTTAGTATAAGCATACGTAGGAGGTGTATTTTACTATTAGTTAATTTAGTTATTTCTTTATTTTCAGTGAAGATCGCCTTTGCCACATGCAAGGCAAGTCAACGCTCAAGCAGCCACAATGCTATAGAAATTAATTGTTTTACTTTTAGATTTGAGTTAATTTGGTAAGTACTTTATTTATTGTTATTTTTTGGATTTTAATTAAATTTCTTTATATTTTTATTTTCAGGTAAGTCAGATTATTAATCGGGATATCAGGTAAGTAATTATTGGTTCATTCGTAGTATTTTCAGTGATTGATATGATTAATTTACTTTCAGGTATGTGTGTTTCATCTTTTGTTTAAATTGGTGAGTGTTTAGTTATATTTTCATTAGCAACATTGATCAACTCTTATGTTTTTCAGGTCTTTGCATTATGGAGCTGCAGTTTAGAGCTGTTATTAGTCATAAATATTTTAATAAGTGAATTTGTTATTTCAATTAGTTTGTCTAGTTTAGTTTCTAGCCTTGATTCGTTATTTAAGTTAATAAATTTTGTAATTTGATCTAATTGTGCGTCATATTTATTCTTTGTTATTAAGTCATGTGCAGACAATATAGGTGTGCGTCGTATACTTAGACTGCGACTCCTGTGTTGATTTTTTCTGTTCGTATGTTACCAGAGAACACACAATAATGATCTCCCCTTCTTCCCATCTCAAACATGATCAGCTGTCCTGCAGCTGCATGGCGAGGGGAAGAGAGAGTGGAGATACTTTTTATTCAAACAATACTTTACAATAGCATTTCTTAAGAATATGATTAGCGCCTATAGATACTTAAAAGTATACAAAAGGTCGATATTTGTCGTAACTTTTCATAATATGAATTAATTTAAATAGCAATAAGTGCACAAAAATAACAGTGCAGCTTAATTTTTACAATATATAAAGATAAAGAGCAAATTTAAGGTAATAAGATACAAAAAGAGTGCTTGAATAGCTGATAGTAGACTAAGTAGTTAATTAAGATTAATATTTTACAATAGTAAGAAGTAGCATTATTTAATATAATTCAGATATTTCATTTATAAGCATCTGCAAGATGCAGTGAGAAATCAGCTCAAAGTGGCCAATTGGAGTTATAGAGAAAAGTCGAGACAAGGTCTGGTCATTTTCTCCATTACATGTATAAGTTAAAAAATAGTTTTAATTGCATAAAGTTAATAAAAATTGATAAGAATAATAATATACTTTACATATTTACATTTAAGTTTCAATGGCTATAAGAATCTGCACAACTGTCAACACAAAGTGCAAAGTTGTTACATATGTAATTATCGGCGAGTTATCGAATGTAATAACATGAATATATGGCAAGTAAAAGACTATGAACAATAAGAATTAGCAATAGATAATAATTATTGGCGATAAGATCTAGAGTTAGTGTAATTAATTAATTTACTAGTATTTTTAATTATTATTAAGTTTAGTTTACATATTTACAATGCATATATAGCAATAATAGTGCAATGTATCGCATATGCATACATATATTTTAATTTAGTTGCTGCTATAATATAATTGTTTTTAATTTAATTATATATAGTTATAAGTTTATAGGATTTAATAATTTGAATAAAAATTAGCTTTTCAATTCGTTTTAGTAGTTTTGATTTCAAAAGTATTAATTCAATATATTGCAAGTGCAATTGTACATGTGACGATGCATCCCTGGTTATATGTAAATACCTATCGGAGTGCACAATCAAAACAAAACAAAGTCAGCTGATTGCAAATTGCATTAAATGCAAATTTGATGCTGCTAATTGATACATATGTATAAATATTAATAAGTAAGTAAGTGAAATTAATAATATTAAAAATGTATACTGATTAATTGCTGTCTTTTTATATATATAGCTGCTGCAGTGCAAAATGCAAGGGAGCTCAGAAACTGAAGACAGAGGAATTGCATAGATTGCGATCAGACTGGCTGGTATGTGAGTTTTGCAAAATTTAATAAAAGTGTTAAAAGATTTCTAATGTTGATTTTTCTTTGCAGAGTACAACCACTAGAGCAAGGAGAACTAGCCAAGTGGGCTCCGCGGCCAATAGGGCATTTATTTAAGTTAGTTTCAGGCTCATTCAAATTGTACATATGTTGTAGGCGCAAGCACCACTATATATGTTCGCTGCACATATGTATATATGTGCTGAAAATAAACTTTTGAGCTGAAAATAGACATCTAAATTGTATGTTATTTGTTGGTTTAGTTACTCTTCTAAGTAAATAGTGCAATAGCCTGTTGCTAATTGTGATATTTGTATATACAAATGATCATTTTTTTTTTTTTTTGATTTGAATAGTCAGGTCCGCATGAGGCTGACTGACTGACTATATTTATTTATTTACTGCTATACTACTGTATAATATAGTAAATTTGTTGACGCCTATTGTGTGTAGGTCTCAAATGTGAGTGTTACATTAAATGTGAAGTGAAATACAAAAGTAGTTTGATTAATTATGTGTTAGTGAATGTATAGATATCTTGATTAGGAATGGCATCCTGTCTGGAAACGTCATCTCTTCTGGAACTGGTATCCTGTTTGGGATTCAAAATCTTTCCAGTTTATTATACAGACCAGCTGCATTCAAAACCAGAATCCTTAATGTGTAAGTGCTTCCAAGAGAACTAGGCAATATTGGATGTGTCATTGACGTGTTTAGCCATCATGCAGTTTGTTAATAAAGTCAACATAGTAATAAGCTGATCCATCTTCGCATTAAGATTTTCTATACTACTGACTTTCATGGGAACAGATCGTTTGCGCTCATCAAGCATTAACTCAATTAAGGTATCAAACTTTGCATTTAATGTTTTGATATCGCTATCATTATTAACAGTGAGCCGAGCATTACTACGGCTACGACTTCTAAATCGCCAGCTGGCATGTTGATCGTCTTCATGTCCATGACCATCATTTGATCGAATTTGGCGCAACTGCTGAAGTGACCGTTGGTGTTGATTGTTCAGATTTATAGGTACTGGTTGAGCATTTTGTTGACGCTGCAGTACTTGCTGACCTTGTTGCGTTTTTACTGCAGTAGATGGTTTTTGCTTATTAGTTATGCCCATTTTTATTGCATCAGCATAACTCGATTTTTCTACCAATTTAGCTGAAAGCAGGCCAGCAGACTTTTGACCTTGTTGCTGCGATTGCTTGGACATATTTGTGGGAACCACTCGAGGCTCTTTTTTTTTTTTTTTTTTGATTTGAATAGTCAGGTCCGCATGAGGCTGACTGACTGACTATATTTATTTATTTACTGCTATACTACTGTATAATATAGTAAATTTGTTGACGCCTATTGTGTGTAGGTCTCAAATGTGAGTGTTACATTAAATGTGAAGTGAAATACAAAAGTAGTTTGATTAATTATGTGTTAGTGAATGTATAGATATCTTGATTAGGAATGGCATCCTGTCTGGAAACGTCATCTCTTCTGGAACTGGTATCCTGTTTGGGATTCAAAATCTTTCCTTTTTGATTTGAATAGTCAGGTCCGCATGAGGCTGACTGACTGACTATATTTATTTATTTACTGCTATACTACTGTATAATATAGTAAATTTGTTGACGCCTATTGTGTGTAGGTCTCAAATGTGAGTGTTACATTAAATGTGAAGTGAAATACAAAAGTAGTTTGATTAATTATGTGTTAGTGAATGTATAGATATCTTGATTAGGAATGGCATCCTGTCTGGAAACGTCATCTCTTCTGGAACTGGTATCCTGTTTGGGATTCAAAATCTTTCCAGTTTATTATACAGACCAGCTGCATTCAAAACCAGAATCCTTAATGTGTAAGTGCTTCCAAGAGAACTAGGCAATATTGGATGTGTCATTGACGTGTTTAGCCATCATGCAGTTTGTTAATAAAGTCAACATAGTAATAAGCTGATCCATCTTCGCATTAAGATTTTCTATACTACTGACTTCCATGGGAACAGATCGTTTGCGCTCATCAAGCATTAACTCAATTAAGGTATCAAACTTTGCATTTAATGTTTTGATATCGCTATCATTATTAACAGTGAGCCGAGCATTACTACGGCTACGACTTCTAAATCGCCAGCTGGCATGTTGATCGTCTTCATGTCCATGACCATCATTTGATCGAATTTGGCGCAACTGCTGAAGTGACCGTTGGTGTTGATTGTTCAGATTTATAGGTACTGGTTGAGCATTTTGTTGACGCTGCAGTACTTGCTGACCTTGTTGCGTTTTTACTGCAGTAGATGGTTTTTGCTTATTAGTTATGCCCATTTTTATTGCATCAGCATAACTCGATTTTTCTACCAATTTAGCTGAAAGCAGGCCAGCAGACTTTTGACCTTGTTGCTGCGATTGCTTGGACATATTTGTGGGAACCACTCGAGGCTCTTGAGCTTGCTGCTGCAATTTAGCTTGATGGTTCCGCATTACTTGCTGTATTGTCAGATGTTTTGACGACTGAGCAGATTTGGTTGATTTAGAATTGTCAATATGTCGATTAATGATTTTAGCAGTAGCAGCACTATTGCTAAGGCTACCCTGATGCATCAAATCAACCACAAGCCTATTTGCTTGTTGCAATTTTGTTGACTCCTTGATTTTGCATGCTTCTTTAAAAGACTTGCAGCCTTTATAGCTGGCAACATGCTCGCCAAGGCAATTTGCACATTTAGGTGGCTGGCTTAAGCTCCCTTTCTGACGTGGACATTCAGTAGATGGATGGTTATTACCACATTTTACACAGATAAAAGGTCTGCGGCAATAATTTTTGGTGTGTCCAAACTTTTGACAACGGTGACACTGCACAGCATCTATGTTATGCAGTGATTTCTCTATCTTGACCTCCTGATGACCCAGCAAGGTAGTAACTAATATACTACTATTGTTGGGTTTAGCCTCAATTTCAACTTCAAATAAGTCAAGTGGTTGGCCAGAGAACCTTTTTTTGATGTTATTTGCATATCGAACTGTATGCCCCAGTTTAGCAAACTCCTCTTTGATCCACTCAATTGGTGTACTTCGATGTAAATGTCTAATAAGAATTCTGAATCCACGCTCAGACTTGATTTGAAAAGTATGAGATTCTAGGTTTATGTCTTCAAAATGATGAATAAGCTTCCTATAGGAGTCAATGCTAAGGCACTGAATGCGCAATCCACGTCCTTTTTTTTTTTTTTTTTTTTTGATTTGAATAGTCAGGTCCGCATGAGGCTGACTGACTGACTATATTTATTTATTTACTGCTATACTACTGTATAATATAGTAAATTTGTTGACGCCTATTGTGTGTAGGTCTCAAATGTGAGTGTTACATTAAATGTGAAGTGAAATACAAAAGTAGTTTGATTAATTATGTGTTAGTGAATGTATAGATATCTTGATTAGGAATGGCATCCTGTCTGGAAACGTCATCTCTTCTGGAACTGGTATCCTGTTTGGGATTCAAAATCTTTCCAGTTTATTATACAGACCAGCTGCATTCAAAACCAGAATCCTTAATGTGTAAGTGCTTCCAAGAGAACTAGGCAATATTGGATGTGTCATTGACGTGTTTAGCCATCATGCAGTTTGTTAATAAAGTCAACATAGTAATAAGCTGATCCATCTTCGCATTAAGATTTTCTATACTACTGACTTCCATGGGAACAGATCGTTTGCGCTCATCAAGCATTAACTCAATTAAGGTATCAAACTTTGCATTTAATGTTTTGATATCGCTATCATTATTAACAGTGAGCCGAGCATTACTACGGCTACGACTTCTAAATCGCCAGCTGGCATGTTGATCGTCTTCATGTCCATGACCATCATTTGATCGAATTTGGCGCAACTGCTGAAGTGACCGTTGGTGTTGATTGTTCAGATTTATAGGTACTGGTTGAGCATTTTGTTGACGCTGCAGTACTTGCTGACCTTGTTGCGTTTTTACTGCAGTAGATGGTTTTTGCTTATTAGTTATGCCCATTTTTATTGCATCAGCATAACTCGATTTTTCTACCAATTTAGCTGAAAGCAGGCCAGCAGACTTTTTGACCTTGTTGCTGCGATTGCTTGGACATATTTGTGGGAACCACTCGAGGCTCTTGAGCTTGCTGCTGCAATTTAGCTTGATGGTTCCGCATTACTTGCTGTATTGTCAGATGTTTTGACGACTGAGCAGATTTGGTTGATTTAGAATTGTCAATATGTCGATTAATGATTTTAGCAGTAGCAGCACTATTGCTAAGGCTACCCTGATGCATCAAATCAACCACAAGCCTATTTGCTTGTTGCAATTTTGTTGACTCCTTGATTTTGCATGCTTCTTTAAAAGACTTGCAGCCTTTATAGCTGGCAACATGCTCGCCAAGGCAATTTGCACATTTAGGTGGCTGGCTTAAGCTCCCTTTCTGACGTGGACATTCAGTAGATGGATGGTTATTACCACATTTTACACAGATAAAAGGTCTGCGGCAATAATTTTTGGTGTGTCCAAACTTTTGACAACGGTGACACTGCACAGCATCTATGTTATGCAGTGATTTCTCTATCTTGACCTCCTGATGACCCAGCAAGGTAGTAACTAATATACTACTATTGTTGGGTTTAGCCTCAATTTCAACTTCAAATAAGTCAAGTGGTTGGCCAGAGAACCTTTTTTTGATGTTATTTGCATATTTTGTTTTATTTATTAATTTTTTTTTTTTTTTTTTTTTTTTTTTTTTTTTTTTTTGTTGAATAGTCACGTCTGCTCGAGGCTGTGCCGTAGACTGACTGACTATATTTATTTATTTACTGCTATACTACTGTATAATATAGTAAATTTGTTGACGCCTACTGTGTGTAGGTCTCAAATGTGAGTGTTACATTAAATGTGAAGTGACATACAAAAGTAGTTTGATTAATTTTGTGTAAATTTGTTGACGCCTACTGTGTGTAGATCTCAAATGTGAGTGTTACATTAGATGTGAAGTGACATACAAAAGTAGTTTGATTAATTTTGTGTGAATTTGTTGACGCCTACTGTGTGTAGATCTCAAATGTGAGTGTTACATTAAATGTGAAGTGAAATACAAAAGTAGTTTGATTATGTTTTAGTGAATGTATAGATATCTTGATTAAGAATTGCATCCGGCCAGGAAACGTCATCTCTTCCGGGACTGGCATCCTGTTTGGGATTCTGTATGGAAGAACCAGTATTTTAACT